CGACGTGTAGCAGCACAAACTGAAGACGACACAAAGACATCTGAGATAAACCAAAATATAATCTGAAGGGTGAAACTTTCAATGCAGCCATTCACTGTAAATCCTCGCTCACTCTCTCGTCTCAGATAAATCCAGAATAACTCAAACATAAAACTGTGTCCATGTTTGAGTAAATTAAGCAACAATTGGAGTATTATGGACTTCTGATTGGTTTATTTACCTCAATAATTCAGTGATTTCTACTGTTTTACTGCCTGTTTTCATCAATCATAAACACAGTGAGTTCATACCGGGTCATTAATGCAAATATAGTTTTTAACACTGTAATTCAACCACAGCAGGAAGTCCGAAACAGAGTCCAGCTGCACTAATGAGGACAAATCTACATCATTATCATTTCAATTAATCAGTATATCTGTAATAAATGACCTCCTGCTGTAACACAATTCAGGCTTTCTGTGAACGACACGTATGCACACACACAGACAGAGAGAGAGAGACAAACGGTGGAGCTGCAGGGGAGAGTGGGAGGAACAGACTTGTTTTCTTCTGTAAAGCAGATTAGCGACAGGAAAATGGAAATTGGATTAGAGACGGAAAACTTCCAGAGAGCGCACAAACACAAACAAACACGCTCTGGTTTCCATCGGCGCTCTGTCGACCTGAGTCAGCGCAGACGTTCACCTGTCCCGAGGTTTTCTCAGGAAGTCAAGTTAACCTCACTTTTACCCCGAGAAGACTCTTACAAACTCTTTCTGGTGCAGAAAAACAAACTCTGCGTCACTTTATCGAAGACAAAATCGTCAAACTCTGTCGGTCTTTGACTCACTTTCACCTCCATGAGTATCCGTCGCTTCATTTACAGCAGCTGTGTATCAAACGGAACAAACAAACAAAAAAACACCATTAGAGGAGCGCTGCAGAAAATAGCAAGTGCATGAGAGTGATGAAGCAGCAGCAGCAGCAGTTGATTAAAAATTAATAGCAAACAATACTCGGTAATAAACTAGGAATTGCTCATCATTAAAAACAGCGAGGTATTTTTTATTATTTACTGTGGAGGCGTCAGCAGTGGACCATCTTCACACTCGCTGAGACGTTCTGCCCGCACCTTCTGACAGATTAATTAATATGCATTAATGCTCTGTGAAAACCTCGCCGTTTAATTTGGTGTGGGGTAATTGGAACAGGCGATAGTGTTTGGTGGCAGCAGATCCATTAAACAGCAGTCATTTCTACAGGTGTAAATTATAGATAGCTATCCCTGCGCTGCTTCACCTGTGGACAAACACGGTTATTTTCCATCTGTGAGGGAAGGACGCAGGCGGGGAGGTTAAAGGTCATCTGTGGTTTATTGGAAGTGTTCAAAACGACTGTGCAATAAGAGAAAAAGGAGAAAAAGGTTAAAAAAATAAACTCCATCTTTGTGAAACCGACTGTTGAGCTTGAGAAGAGATGCAGAGATTGACTTTTTAAAGTTTGAAAAGAGTGGGTAAATGTTTTTAATTTGTTCATTTTTTTTGAAAGTGAAGAATAAATTAAGCCGTCACTTTATGTGGTTACGAGCTCATCGGAAAAGCAGCATTAAGTCGTGTTGCAGTTCTAATTTCCAGGATTTGTGACTCGGGTTTGACTGCAGAGGGTTAGGAGGGCGGGGCTTATTTAACGATAAAGGCTCTTTAGTTATTCTTGTTGGTTTCTTTCATCCAGACACCAGTGCTTTTGACTTTCACCTTGACTGGGCCCCATTTGTAATGATCTGAAGTATTTATCTGCATTATATCTGAATTTAATTGGAACGATACCAGCGAGCAGGAGCGTCTGTTTGTGGGCGGGGCTTGCTGGAGCAGAGAGGGAGGGGAGAGGAGGAGCTGAGGGGAAAACTGGTCCCCAATTGTGACGTTAAGGGTGAGCGTTAGGGTTTGGGAAGAAAACGCCACAGGGAGTATTTTTTATTTTCTTTGTTTGTCTTTCATATAAATAAAATAAAGTAAATCCAAAGGCTGCCGTTTCCATGTTGTGAATATTTGACATTCTGCGTTTTAGACTTTTGATTTGTTGTAATTTAAATTTGATTTGATTCGGGTGAAGCGAAGAATCTGAAACTTTAATTTTCACTTTGTGATGATGATAGACGACTGAACTCCAACATAAAACACAAAGCGGTAAAACAACACGAACCCCGTCGGGACTCAGACTAAAGATGAGAAAAAAGGGAAAAAATAAATCACTCACACTGTGATGCCATGCATCAGAAATAATTGTGTTTGTTTATGAAATCTGTTTTATCCGATTTGACGGTGATTATTTTCCCCGCTGCCGGTTCCTTTGAAAACAGGGAAATTAACTATATCCATTTTTACAATCTCCCCTGTGTTTTTATCCTCTCTTGATTTGTCCTTTTATAATTTCCCTTTAAAACAATCTATTTTGATGTTTTCATTTCATGTTTCTGAATAACTGGAACTGCTGAAAAGATGAATACCCTGTGATTATTCAGCCTGTCAGTCAGCGTGTTAATACGGCGTCATCAGTCTTTTTACAAAGCGGCAGCAAAAGAGAGAAAGAGAGAATAAAAAAGACCAAAACTGACAATTACACACAATAAATAAGCAGAAATCACCCGGAGTCGGCTTTGATACTCTTTTCCTCATCTAAACCCCAAATTTCCACTTTGTGTCTTAATTTTTTTAATCTTTTAAATCTGCTTTTATTACTGAGCTCCACTAATAGTCAGAACCAGCATCATAATGTCCGTTTAAAGGCCTTAAACACAGAAATGAGCAGCAGATTGTGGTTTTTATTTGGGTTAAATAGCCACTGGTAGTCCAGATGTTACAGCTTAAAATCAAATAATGCAAATCTGGGTGTTTAAAGCTTGATAAACAAACCGACTCGCCATTTGTTTTTAACAGATTAAACAAACTGGGCTGGTTACTGTCTACGGGGGGATTTTTAACAATCATTTCCTCAAAGCAGCAGCAGCAGCAGCAGATGAACTCATACAGTCTGTCTTTTCCTTTAAAAGCGATTTATCGTCTTTTTTTTCCTCTTCTGTTTAATAAATACACAGATTTAAACCGCTCAGATGTGCTTATCATCTAAATTCGCTTTGCTGGAGGGTAAAACTGTTCTCCTTTGAGATATCAAAGATAATAAACACCGTGTGAAACAGTTTACAGTCAAGTTTATTAAAATCCAACTAAAATGTGTCAATATTTCCTCGTAAAGGAGCATCTGTGGGTTAAAAGACGGTAAAATCACCGCCCAAAATTTGACAAAGCACTAAGCAGATATAATATTATGACAGAAAAACAGTTTCATTACTCAGTTTTGAAATATCTGAAAAATATCAGGCAGAGAAAAGCCATCTACAAAACCGAACTCCAATGACGTTGGGAAGATGTGTAAATGGTAAATAAAAACAGAATACAATGATTTGCAAATCCTTTTCAACCTTTATTCAATTGAATACACTACAAAGACAAGATACTTAATGTTCAAACTCATAGACTATGTTTTTTTTTTGCAAGTAATGATTAACTTTAGAATTTGATGGCAGCAACACGTGACAAAGAAGTTGGGAAAGGTGGAAAAATACTGAGAAATTTGAGGAATGCTCATCAAACACCGATTTGGACCATCCCACAGGTGAGCAGGATTATAGGGAACAGGTGGGCGTCATGATTGGTTGTAAAAGCAGCTTCCCCAAAAAAAAGAAGGATGGGGTGAGGTTCACCACTTTGTCAACAACTGCGTGAGCAAATAGTGGAACAGTTTAAGAACAACGTTTCTCAAAGTACAATTGTAAAGAATTTAGGGATTTCAACATCAACGGTCCAAAATATCATCAAAAGGTTCAGAGAATCTGGAGAAATCACTGCATGTACGCGGCACGGCCAGAAACCAACATTGAACGACCGTGACCTTCGATCCCTCAGGCGGTGCTGTATCAAAAACCGACATCAGTGTGTAAAGGATATCACTACATGGGCTCAGGAACACTTCAGAAAACCACTGTCAGTAAATACAGTTCATCACTACATCTGTAAGTTAAAACTCTACGATGCAAAGAGAAAGACATTTATCATTTATCCCAACTTCAGTGGAATTGGGATTTGTATCTGGATTTACAGTCTATGATTGGGTCTTTTCATCCACTTTTTAAGTTTGGAAGAATGACAACTTGTGGTCCAAAAATAAGGAGATCGAGCATTGAACCCTGAGGGACACCATGAGGCTTTCTAGTGTCTTCTGGAGGACTTTATAACGAATGGCTGCTTCAGCCTAAAGGGTTGCTGTTACTGTTCCCGTCAAAATCTTCCCTTCTTTGTTATTTTTGTCCTAAATTTTAAAATATCATTTGGATCTTTTTCCCTGTTTTTTATAAATCCTACCGTAGGAAACCGGCTGTAAATAAATCCCATCATTACTTGGTTTTTCTGACCTTGTCTTCATGTTTTGAGAAAAGAAACCCTCAGCAGTAAATCTGTCAAAAAATCTGACACAATCAATGTCAAGTGATTTGATTTCATTTGATTTAATATGTTGTTTCTCTGTTACGACAGAAGTCATATGCAGGTCAAAGCAGCAGAAATAAACCTGGAGTATTGCGTCAACCTGCAGAGATTTATTACGGCTCTAATGATTTTGCAACTTCACCGTCCAATTTGCAATAAAAAGACTCGTGCAGCAGGAGAAGGAAATAAAATCTGATGACGAAGCAACGATTTCTGACTTCGGTGGTGGAGTTGGATGCGCTCGACTGTCACACTCTGAGAATAATAATAAACAGAAATCTGCCCCTGAACTCCCTTTGAGAGGAGTTCAGCTGTGAACGTGCCGCCGTCAGCCTTTGTTGAAAGCTTGAGACTGAAGATCGAAGCGTTTCCTTCTTTGTGTTAAAGTCCTGATTCAGCGAGAAGTGTCCCCGGCCTGCTGCTGTTAGTGGCAGAAAAAGGCAGAGACGAAGAAGTGATGATAAAACTTATTTTCTATTTCTTCTCTTTGCATGCATTTCTCTCTTTGAAGCCACTCCGCGGCCTCGATGAAAAGGCGATGGAGTGCCTGATAGCTCCTCCGCCCGTCGGCCGACTTAATAAGAGGCCCGAGTGCGGTTCAACACTGCCGCAGCTTCTGGACCGATAAGAACCTCAGATCTGAAAAGGACAGAGAAGAAGAAGAAGAAGAAGCAGAGGAGACGGGGTGAAACAAGAGTTTTAATGCTTATGCCAGCAGGTTGGAAATGATTATCTTGCTGTCTGGTTGTGACGGTGTGTACGGAGGCCTGACAGCAGCCAGGGGCTCCACTCATTAATACGGCAGGGAAGTGAGAGAAACAGTGGTAGGACTGTAAGCTCTCAACTAAATCCTGACATGCCCTTTACCACCTGAGAGCAGAAAACTCAGAACTTTTGTCCTATTTTAATATTTCATCATATTTTTGCTGCTCTGCATCAGACTGCGGTTTATATATCTGTCTTAAACAGTCACAAAGCAGATTTATACCTCCACCTCTGCACACCACAGCCCTCTATAAAGCTCATATCCTCTAAAATAACCTTATTTTTAGATGACATTTTCATGTATTAATGCCAAACCATCTTAAAATGAGGTTATTAATGGAGAGGGAGGAGGATGCATTAATTTTGCATGACTTTTTCAGACCTTTTTAAAAACTGCACCACCGTGAATCCAAGTCTAGGCTGGACTTCAGAGGGGACCAGACCTTTATTTTTAATCTCCCCTCCCCTAATAGAAGAGCACTTTGTTGATCTGGATCGTAATAATTACCACGATGACTTCAGTTTAATCTAGAAAACTCAAACTTGAAATAGTGACCATGGAAAAGTATCATGGAGAGGAACGTGTGTGTCTGCAGATCATGCAAAAACAAACGGACTCTCTGAAGGTGAACTGCAGAAAAAAACAGTGAAACTGGGATAAGAGCTCAGGGTCCGAGTTTCATAAAGCAGCTAATTTACATGACAAACTTGACCCTGCCTGCAGCCAGTTTCTCATTAATGTCCTGGTTGACGATCTGAGAAGCAGTTGAAAAAAACTGAGTCGTTGAGGCAGATTTGAAAAAAGCGTCCCACTCCCCACACACAAACCTCTCCCCTCTGTGCTCCACCATAACTCCCCCCTGAACCTGTATCACCCTCCTCACGACACACCCCCTCTGGCAGAGGATCCTACGCTAGCTTCAAACAGGATTCACCATGTCGGATTGTTCGTAATAACTAATAAATAATAACTAATCAGAGTTATTTATGTAACATGAGCCACGATAAAAGGCGATAAAAATGACCTGTTCAACAAAAACTCTGCTGTCTCTGCGTCTGTTTTCTCCACCGCTCGGAGGATGACCCGATGTTTATTCCAGTTAGATTCCTCACTTGGTCACATGTCCTCTTCGACTCCGCCCTTTCTTCTGTCGGCTTGTGTTTTCTTCCCACTTTTGGCGGTGGAGAGAGCAGAAGTGTTTTTTCCCATCCTTCTCCATCGAGCTAAGCTGCTACACTACTGTGTCGAATACAGCGAGGTGATTGGATGGAGAGGCGGAGCAGGAGATTGACCAATAGGAGCTGTCTGGGACAGATGGCTCCCATTGGTCAATGTTTTTGCAGCCCTGCACCTGATAGGGTGAACAGATTTTTTCCGTTCTTTTTTCTCTTCACTTTGTGGAGATCGCACTACAGGACCATGATCGCCATAGAAACGAGGTTCATAATAATCACCAATCTCTCCAATCATCAACCATGACTTTAAAGTTTAAAGGGAAATACCTGACCAACATCCACTTTAGCTGATGAACCTCTAAATGACATGTAACTTAACGACTTTGTCCTCATAAGTATTGATTTTATTACAACTTAATACTCATAATTACTTTATTACAACTTTATTCTCATAATTACTTCATTACGACTTTATTTTCATAAGTAATAACTTAATTATGACTTTATTCTCATAAGTTATTACTTTATTACGACTTTATTCTCATAAATAATTCTGAGGTCTAAATGTATTTTTTTCTTAATGTGGCCCTAATGCTTGGTCATAAAAAACAGTGAAATATCCCTTTAATAAATGTTAAAATTAGACACTTCCATTATGCACACAACAGCCCAGAAGTTCAGAAGTCTGGTGTGTCCCGATCCGAGTTTCCTCTTGCCTTAAAACTACGTCCCTGCGTCGCACAGTTCCAAGTTTAATGAAATATTGTAATAAGGAAATGACTCTAAATCTAATAAAACACTGGAGTTGAATTATGTCCCTGGTGGCACAACGGGAATTCCAATAAATGCAGAAAATGTACCTCAGCCTACAGTCAGTTCATCAGTTTAATTACTTTCACTAAGAATTCATCAAGTAATTTGACTTGGTTTAATTATAATCTTACCTCCTAAACGTTCCTGTTTCTAATCTTCCTCAGCTGATCTCACATGTATTTCTGTTTCTCTGTGTCCAGAGGAGATGTGAAGGTTTCTGCTGTTTCCTGGGCGGACAGCAGTCAGGGCTCCGAGTGAACAGCTAATCCTCCAACTATAAAGGTCTGTGTAACCTTTCTAACACAATTTCACAAAAGACTGCTCTGTTTGTTCTGCTCTCAGAAATAAAGCTAATTATAAAATCCCGCCCAAACGTCTTGACCTTTCCCTCTGGGTAATTACAGCTCCTCATTTCTTTGCTGTTTTATTTATTTATTTATCAAGCTCTTTTCTTTCCTCGATGTGTTTGTCTTCAACACGGCGTCGTGTTGCAGCTCTCGTATTGTCTACCAGTCAGACAATCGAATGAAAAACAGATATTCAAAAAAAAAAGGCATAAAAAGAAGCTGCGTGTAAAAAAGAAAATCAATATGGTACCATTTTGTTTTTAGCCTGTGTGCAACCAGTTGAACTGTACTTGCATTTGCGTGCCACAAAAAATACAGTATGCGTCTACAAATTCACTGTAATTGGACGTACTTACAGACTTCTACAGTGTTCATTTCAGCAGCAGTGCTTTGTACAAATTGCCCACATTTTTTAGGCCTAAAATAAGTTTTTTTCTCCAATGATGTTTGGGATATTATCTCAGTGTTGGACCCTATAGAATAAACTATGAAAGCACATTTATTTGTTTTACTGTTCACAGAAAAGAAGCGCTTCACCGGCCGTCTGGAAATAGGAGTTCAGCACCACGGACAGAGTCTTTGTCTCTCAGATAAACAAAGGTTGGCCTCTCCAGAAATCACCACAGCCAAACCTAAACTGAACCATCTAAGAGCGAGTTAACTGGGAGGCAAAGACCTACATGATTACCAGGCTTCTGAATTAACAACCGACAACCTGCCAAATGAAAGTTAAAATTCATTTTGGCAGATTTTAATAAAAAACTTACGAACCAGTTTGGCCGGTGATGCATTAGGTAATCGTGTCACTCAGATATGCTCGACTTAGGTTCTGCTCTCGGTCAGTTTACATGATACTCAAGAAAACCGAATTATTGCCTTACTCCGATTAATACCGGACAACTGAAGTCCATGTTAACATCTGAATCGTCGGAGAATTCCGATTAAGTCACCCAGATAATGTGATTGGAATTCGATTTTCTCTACCATGTAACCAGCGTAGTCGGAGTATGATCGGACAATGCATGTGTGCGTGCGCCACGCCTCCGTAACCCTGGAACAAACCTGAGAAGAAGTAGCGCTAGCATTTAAAGAATGGACATTTTAAAGTATATGGACGGTCGCAAAACGAGGAACGGCGATATCTTCTAAAAAAGTCTGGAAACAGCACCGCTGAAAAGACCCATATCGCCCCCTAGTTTTGGAGAGGAGGACACGTTCACGTCGGAAATTAGATTTTCTTAGCTGCATGTATAATCGGACAAAGAGAGAAGCCCGATCTGGCAAAAAAAACGAACTATGAGCTTAGTCCAATTAAACTGTGCATGTAAGTTATTTGCCCCCCCTTGGCAGTAGTTTCTACATTTCCCACAAATGCTGTGCTGTAATGCTACGCTCTGACGTTTCATACACCCATTGGCTGTGTGGATGTCGGTCTTTCCTGCTACAGTCTACAGTGCAACCAGCCTGAGAAACGACCAGTGAGAGCAGTTTCGTAAAAACAGCAGAGCGTAAGTTAGTTAGAGTAAAAATAAACTAAATGAAGCGTTTGTTGAACTTGGGACAGACGAGGTTGGGCGAGAAGAGGAAGGATATTGGGGACCGAGCGTACAAAACGAAACAAATAAAGTTTAACGTCAAATGGCTGACACTGGTTTGTGTTTGATCCTGAAAGTAACGTCATGTTTTGTCAGAACTGCCGCATGTACGCGAACGAAAAACACAAATCGGCCAGTGGGAAATCTGATCCACTGGTAACTTGAATTTAATTTAGTACCCTGGTCTGTTATTCCTGCAGACATGCTGGAAGGTTTCCACATAGATATAAACACAATCTGAGGAAGGAATCAGATTATTTACTGTAACCCAAACGTCACATTTAAGTAACTGATCCAAGGAGAGGACAGCAGGATCTGAAGGTTTGTTCATCAACTGCTGCAGGAAGACGCCTCTCTGTTGATTCCAAAAGAATAAGAGACATAATGTTTCCAACAGAGTGACTCTCGTACCGGCGGATAAACAACGATCAGGATGTAATCTGAATGAATTTACAGTAAACACAGAGAGGACTTTGGAGTAACTGTTGGAACGACGTTGAAAACGAAGGTCTCCTCCTCTCCGATGGGAATGTTCTGGAGGATTTTGGCTCGCCGGTTTTCCCCCCGTATGGATCACATGATTGATAATTACCCACAGGCTTTAGGTTCCTGGCGGAGATCTCACTCTTGCATTATGGGGGCCGTCGGTTCCTCCACACTCTCCCATCTGAATCTCAAACAGTCGTTCCAAATTTCATCCACGCGGCGCGAATCAAAGATCTGAGCATAACGGAAGCTCGGCGCCTCGGGTTCAAATACGACATCGCTGCTCTTGTTTCCCGCTGGTGCTTTCGCTCCAGTTAACTTTCCCACAGATGAACTCCATCTTCAGAAGATTTCTCTCCATGTGTCAGTGATTCAAAGCTCTCTGCTTCACTCTGATTTTAATGACTCTGTTGTACTCTTACTCTATGTCCCTGTGGGTGCCCATTGTTTTACTGCTGGTTATTATTCCTCTGTTTTACTGTCTTTTATCAGCAGTTTAAAGTCTTAATTCTGCCTTTGTTGTGCTTTTAGTGTAAATCAAAGCACATTTGTTATTGTTGTTGAACAGAAAACGGAAAGCAAAAGCAGACTCGAGAGGCGACGCTCGCTCTTTGCTGGATCAACAGGCGGGCCAACAGTCAGCAAGACAGACAGGGGAAATTAATTCACACACCAATTCCACAGAGAGCTGCAAAAACATCCACAGAGGGACACAAAGCGACCGCGAGGAGATGCAGAAAGTCCACAAACACCGCCGCCGTCAGCTGTTTTACAGGATCATCTCATTTGTGGAAATAATCACGATGTTCTTGAGCTAATACGGACAGAAAACCTAAGCGCCGTGTAAGTTTAGCTGCAAATGTGACCGAAACACAAACGTCTTCCCTGGTGTGTTGTGTTTTTTTTTTGCATCCTTCCTCTTAACACACACATACACACACAAACCAGCAGACAAACAGCCTAATTGCTGTTGGCCAATCCTCACAGTCGACATGATTTCCTTCATCTGCATCTCTGCTGAGGCTTTAAAAGCTGGCAGACGTCCAGGGCCCGCGAAGAGAGAGAGTGTCTGTGTTTTTGTGTGGTGGAAACCAAAATATCTGCTGGTACTGACAGCTCAGTGAGGAGACATGAACCCACTCTGACAGAGAGGTCAAAGGTCGGGGGGAGTGATAAAAAGTAGGGTCCTCTAATGTTGCCTCCCCTTGTTTCCTCTCCTCTTATGTTTCCTTTTCATCTTCTCCTTCCTTCTGTCATATTCCCTTTTTCCTTCTGTCTGTTTTAGTTTCTGCAGCGAGGGTCGACTGTTATATTTTAATGCATTTAAGTAAGGTGTGTTGAAAATGAAGTGGTCAGAGAGAAGAGACCTCTACGCTTATCTGGGGGGGTCAAGGGGGCCGCAGGTCAACTCAAACGAGGGTGGACAGACTATCAGAGGTGTAATGTGGAGCAGGAAGTGCGGAACAACGGCTGTGTGTGTGTGTGTCTGAAACTGGGGTCACACTACACATTACAAGTGTGGTAGTAGTAGTAGTTGTAGTTGTAGTCGTTTATTCAGTCATGACAACACCAAATATTGTCCACAATATTGACATTTCACACTAAATCACTAAACCAAGAATCATGTTGAATATCGACTGAAAAGGCAGAAACAGACTGATTATAAAAGTCTAACCTCTAACTTATTAATCTACCGACCTCCAGAAAAGCAAAGAAACCACAACAGATAAATAATCGCACTTATAGGCTTCAAAAATATCTTTACAAACTATTTTCTTAAAAAACGAAAAAGAATGACATGTTTTTAGATTTATGTCAGCATCATTTCAGAGTTTAACTCCACTAAACGGAGACGCGTCTCTTTTTCAGACCTCTTTCAGCTTTTTGTACAGCGCCTCTGGTTTTATACGGACTGTCCTGAACTGAAAAGAACCTCTGTGTTGAGTCAGGGAGCATTTCTGATTTTGCTCTAAACATAATTTGCATTAATTTATAACAAAACATCATAAAATTTCATAACATGACAATTTAGAAAAAGTATCTCCGTCTGATCATAGTAATCAGCCTTAGTGGGATCATGAAGAAGTGTCTGACCGTCAAATCCATTTTCAGACCACATCTGGTTCACCTCACGATCCCTGGACTGAAGATGGAATCCTGTTGTTGAGCTTCGCTGACAACTTCCCTGTCTTTACGATGTTGAGGGACGGCCATGACCGACTGAAAAAGGAAACATGTTGGTTGGAAATATCAGACGCACTTTAGCAGCCTGGTGAGAAGCTGCTGTTGGTGTCGTCTAGTTCAGTCCCTCTTTCTTCGAGCGCTAACATCGGTTGTGATTTTGAGGAGTCTGTCTGAGCTCCTGATGTGTGATATTCTCCGTGGACCTGATTTTATGCAGGTGTTAAACTTTTTTCCCTCTCTATCTCCTTTTTATTCCCTGTTTTTGCTTCCTTTCCTTGACCCTTGTTTCCTTAATCATTTATTTTCTCATTGTTTTTTTTAATTAACAGTTTTCCTGTGTTCTTCTCTGCTCCCCCTCTTATTGTTCAGATTTGTACTCTTCTTTTACCTCATTATAAATGTCATGTCTTTGTTTTAAAAGCTTCCTTTTCCCTGATCTTTCCTTTTCTTTAGTTTTTAGCTTTCTGTTTTATTTCCACCCTTCTTTTTTATTCCCCTTTCCTCTCTGTTTTCATATATTCTCTCACTAAATGACTCTTTTTCATGCTGTTTATCCCCATCTGTCATCTCCCCTCTGAATTTTTCATGTGTCCCTGTTTGTTTCCTTTCTCTGCATACCGTTTTTTTTTCTTCTTCACTACATTTCCTCCTTTATTTCTCCTTACCTCCTCAGTTCCTTACCTCCTGAATCCCCCTCCTCCTCCTCCTCCTCCTCTCCCTCCGTGATTCTGGCGGGAGCGCGGAGGTGTGTGTCTGCATGTTCGTGATGTTGTACAGCTTGTCTCCCATGTTCTATTATTATCGTCTCTTCGCCGTGTGGGCGTCCATTAGGCAAACTCATATGCAACAATATGCAGATTCCTCCATTTGCACGGATCATAAACTCCTGCAGGCCTTCTGCTACATCATCACCACCACCACCGCCGCCGCCGCCGCCGCCATCATCATCACCATCATCTCCATCAGCAGCTGCCAGCGGCGGCAGGCGGTGAGCTCAGCGTCGCAGGAAGTAAATTTGTGCCCCGATTCACTCTGAGATGCTTTCATTAGTTTTCACCCGCAGTGCAGGAGTCAGTGAAGGCATCGCGGGAGCGTTTGCACCCCTGATAGGAAGCCATGTGATGTCATCGGCTGCAGCACGCCGGCGTCATGTGGCCGATTAACATAAAGATAATATTTACAAAGTTAGATAAGGAGTTTAAACTTTGAGAAGTAGGACTGGTGCGTGTTTTAGAAAGGCTGGAAATGATCGTCAAGAGAAAGACTAAAAATATTTTTAAAAAAAGACGCTGGACTTAAAAAGATGAAATTAAATCAAGTATGAAATAAGACGGACAGGAGAGCGACAGCAGGAGAAATACAGCAACAAAAAAGAGCAAACATTAATTAAAACCATCATGAAACATGTTTAAAAACACTTCTTAATGTTGGCAAAGAGGAAACGAGAAAACCATAACCCGGATTATTCAGGGAATAAAAAGATTCTGATCCAAATAAAAGACGTTTTTCTTTCCTTTACATTTGTCCAAAAATCTGTCATTTAGAGCCTCGGCTGTTGTCATCGCTGTTTTCAGTATCAGCTTTAAAAATGAAATACAAGACAGAGTAACTAGTTATAAAATCCACTGACTTTGAGGGGTCTGCAGCTCAGGGTTTAAACTGATTTGATAGAAGTATCACAAAAGACAATAAAGGGTTACTATAACAAAGAAAAAAGAAAAGTAGCAGCTCAAAACTAAAAGAGGTCAGTGTAGCAGAAAGACCCAAACAGATCCTGACCAGGTCTAGTTTAAGTGAGACGTGTCGGGGATTATGAAGACTGAAGTGTGAAACTCAAAGAGAGAAAACTGAACATTCAACAGAACCAAACTCTAAAAATCCACATTTACATAAAAAAATAAATAAATAACCTTTAACAACTGAAACAAAAGTTATTTATGAAAGTCCCCCCCTCCATTTCCCATCATGGTCCCTCTCACTTCCTGTGGGCGGGGCTTAAGAAGCCATCTTGAACTGCCAGCAGGCCTTTTGTCAGTGAAGCTCAGACAAGAACAAACAAACAAACAAACAGACAGACAGACAGACAGACAAAGGTGAGTTTGATTTTTAAATGAAACCATAAAAATGTAAACTGATCCCTGACGAGTTCGGTGTTAACTGAGGGCGCCCAGATTAGAAAACAACTGAAATAAAGTGAGAAATACTGACACCAGGCTGCAGCAGGTGATTCAGGGATCACGCTTAATGAGAGCTAAAAAGACCCAGAACAGAACTGACTAAGAAAAACTGTGATCCAGATCCAGGTTTGTGTGGTTTTCCACCTCCAGAGTGAGCGCTGAAAACCCTCTGAACTCCTGACTCCAGACTCAACTAACTCTGACGGTTTGTTCATGTAGTCAAAAGAAATCCCACTCTGAGTGTTTTACTTTGAAGATTACTTTCATTTACAAAACTTCTTTTTATTTCTGTGTCACAAAATGCAGTTTGACAACACGGACAGGGCGAATTACCTGAACTACATGTTTCGATGTTTAACTGTCTCCTTTGACCCGCTCTGTGCAGATTGATGCTTCCAGCAGGAACCAGTGGGAGGAAACACGTTGACTCTAAGGGGAAAGAATCTACAGGAATTCAGAGGTTAGTCATGCACACCTGCTTAAATACCTGCATGTTGGAGAAGTGATGGTGCTCCTGGTCGCTCATTCTGATGCTCAAACATCTGCTTTTATTCCATGCTGTGACGTTGTACACATTAATGTAAATCAGGATTTAAATCTCTGTCAGTTTTCTGATTTAAAAAAACACCTCCAGGTTTTTTAATGACCCTCAGATTGAGGAGCTCTCTGTCTCAGTCCCTGTTTTGTCCTGTAAAGTTAGATTTTTCCCTGAAATGCAGTCAGATTTCACATCACGCTGTATCATTTTCAAGTTCGGTGTCTGCCCTGGAGCTGTGCCGCTAACAAAGCGAACATCACATTCAGAAGACGACAAAAGCTCCCCTTTGTTAACTCCATAAATGTAAAGTAATTGAACAAATATGCTCCTGATCGTGCTTCAAATTAAATCCTGTCTTTTCAGCTCCCGTCAAGCATTTAGTTGTTTTCAGTAAACAAGTCTAATTCAACATGACGACAGGCTGTTGTTGGATCTTTTAACAGTCAGTGATGTTGGCTTAAACGCTTGGGATGAATGTGAGAACGAACGTAGGCGCTGCTGGATGCTGCCCGTCCATTTTTCGAGAGGCTTCCTGTTCTTCTGTTGGCTGTGGGTGGACGGCAGCTCCGCTAATTAATGCAGCCATCAACGCCGAGTACAACTGTGTGAAATGATTATCCAAATGCATCCTCAAAAATACGCCGCCTGGTCAGGGGGATAATGTCTGTGAAGATTTTTGTAATTGTTCCCTCAAATTAGCATTTATTAATTTGTGTCCTCACATTACAAACCGTTTATGAATTTTTAATTAGAGCTCCTCTGTCCATTCACAGTTTTCATAGACTGAGGTATCCTGGTTATAAAACAGACATCATACTAACAACACTACTTACAACACTTTTAGATACATCTACAATCCCTACAAATCCTCCGGTTTGGTGAATCACATGAACTCTAAAAAAATATGATTGAATCTTCGTTTGAGTAAGTCAGTGTGTATCTGCAGTTTTGATTCTGTGTATGTTGTTTTTTAGATGATACTTAATAGTACGGTGCTTAGAAATAGAATGATTTTTTGGTTCTGAGGCGTCAGATTTTAGCTCGAAATGCTCCCTTGCTCAACCCTCATGTTTGTAAAGGTACGGTGGCCTTGAAGGACAAGAAGTTTTTGTCAGTTTTTTATAATTTGGAAACATCCATCAATGCAAAGTCAACAACCACACCGTGGCAAACCCGTTTGTTTGCCAGTTTTAATGCATTTCTTAGTTAAATATTTATGTGCTTCTGGAGAAACGAGATGGTGGCCTCCGTGGAAGAGGACCTGCTAACATGTGGATTTAAAGACTCATTTTGAGTTTATAACCAAACCATGTTTATATACAGTAGGGCTGAAACGATTCTTCGAGTACCTCGATTACAAAAAATGATTTCTGAGTACTCATTTATGAGCTCAAATCATCGCTGTTTCGCACTGATTATTATCAAGGTGGCACCACGTGCTTACATCACCGCGGTAGAAGGAGGAGTAGGCGTGGTTTGGGTTTTGCAGAGCGGAAAAAATGAATGATGAGAGGGTCTTTTTTCTGTAGAGCTCCAGCAGCTCATTAGCGATTCGCCTCTGAGTCGTGGGCGGAGTTGGCGCTGCTCTGCACGCTCCTCTTCATGCTAGATTGTAGCCTAACATTGTTGGTGAAGTAGAAGTTGCAGGTAACACAGGAACTATTCAGCTCTCAGACACTAATGTCTTTAGGGACATGATCAAAGTTAATATCATAATTAGCTTTCTTACAAGCATTGCGATCCACTACATGCTTGTTCCACGATCGTCCTCTCTACTTCTCCAAGTCTGGCCTTCATAGCGGAGCTCTGGGGGCGGAGCTTGGATTTGTGACGTAGGAAATCCCACTGTATCAGAACCTGCCGTTTGGGTCCGATTACTCGAGTGATCGATGGAATATTTGGTAGAAAACTCGATTAATAAAATATTTGATCACTGCAGCCCTAATATACAGGTGATTATATACTGATTTAAACATACTTATGAACACTTTATTCCATTTTTAACAACTTTAACCTACTAAATGCTGCTAAATATTACACACTGCACCTTTAATTTGTCTTATTCAACACTTCTTTTCCTTTACCGATCTCTTACACTTCACTATTTTGTCATTTAACGTCGTAGTCTGGCAAAAACTTGGTTTAAGTCTACAACTTGGTTTAAGTCTACAATGCATACCCTGATTATTTAGCGAGCACCTCCACAGTCTAATGTAAAACACATTAAAAACCCAGTTTGGATCTACCAGACCCCTTTGGTGCAAAAGCGATGAAGCTCGTCCAGAGGGCCGAAACAGAGTAACCCAGGGATGGTAAACAAATGCAGCGTCTGCAGAGCGCAGTCGAACTCTGAGCGAGTTCATAAAGTTTTCATCTGCAGGGACCTGAGGAGCTACAGGGAATCAGAGAAGACGTTAAACACAGTTGAAACATACGACAGCAAACCGACTTAAAAATGCAGATTAGAAAGTCAGCAGAGAGAGAGAGAGAGCGGCACTTGGACTACTCCTTCATACTTAATTTCTAATGAGTGGAAGTTGGTGTCAGATTTTAAGCAGACTACAGCTCTGCATGCAATTTAAAAATAAAGCAGCATTATTATTTAACAAGTATTTAAAGAGACCATGTGGTGAAGAAAGAGCTGAGCCGTAAGGCGAGACTCTCGATTTATCGGTCGATCTACGTGCCGATGGACTTTGGGTAATGACCGAAAGAACAAGATCGCAGATACAAGCGGCTGAAATGGGTTTCCTCCTCAGGGTGTCCGGGCTCAGCCTTAGAGATAGGGTAAGGAGCTCGGACACTGCAGGGAGCTCGTGGAGCTCCTCCACGTCGAGAGGAGTCAGCTGAGGTGGCTCGGGCATCTGGTTAGGACGCCTTCTGGACGCCTCCCGTTAGAGGTGTTCCAGACACGTCCCACCGGGAGGAGACCTTGTGGCCGGTCCAGGACCAGGTGGAGGGATTATATCTCTCACCTGGCCTGGGAGCGCCTGGGAATCCCCCGGAGGAGCTGGTGGAGGTGAGGGCCGTCTGGGCTTCCCTCCTGAAGAAAACGACAACGATTTAAAGAACTCAAAATTAGCTGAAAACGTAAACGTAGTTCGTCTGCAGCTTCCCCTCCAAACAACCTCCCTCCAAAAATACTGAAATATCCCTTTAAGAGGTTCCTGACAATACTCAGCCCTTTAATAAGCAGGTGATTCAACCTTCAACTTTTGAGCAGATGGTTTTATTTAATAATTGATGAATGTGAAATCAACTTTAAAAAGAAAACTCCAAATCTACCAGAGTAACACACGGTCAGAGTCGGGTCGTCTGCACACAAAAACAGAACCTCAAACCCAACATAACACTTCTTCTTCTAGTGTTGCATTAGCAGCATGAACACCATTAGAAGCGATCGTTTTTCCCCAGTGAAGGTTGTTTTCCCTCCAGCAGCAGCATCAGCTGGCGAGCCTGTGGTGGTCTTCTATCCCACCCACCGTCAAAAGCACCCCCTCTCCCCTCCAGAATTCATCGATTTCCATGGAGCAGATTCCTCCTGGCTGAACAGTTCCCTCCTTGTATGTCGGGCGCTCATCTCTGACAGCTGAGGCCGGCTCGTAGCCTGTGGCGATCGTCTGGAGTGGACGGACACACGGAGCAGACAATGAGTCGCCTCAGAGCTGCAGCAGATGTCCCGGTGATCGCCGCGGACGCTGGCCGACAACTCTGCTCGCTGCTGCTTTACTGATTGGAGGAGAATTATATAAAAGAAGACGAAGAAGAAGAAGAGCGCTCTGCTTGGAGTTCAAGTGCCAGTTTGCACAATATGCTCTATTGTGGATGAGAGTATTTTTGCACCAAACAGGAGTTGTATTATTGAAGGAAGAGAGCCATGAGGGACCCTGAGATTAAACTGCTGCTCTGAGCTGCTGCAGGCGCACTGATTTGTACTTTCGGCAGAAAAAAAGATTCAAAGGTTCAGCTTTGATTTAACAACCAGATTAATCAAATAAAATACAGCAAAATAAGCCCAGTGGATCTCCTGAAAGAAACTTTTCACAGTCATTATCATGTTGGTGTTTTTCGCTCAGTTACAGGCCACAAAGCAAATACTCTGCTCTGCATTCGCATAAAAAGACGGAATATTGAATCTGTAAAAAAAGTGAATAGATGTGTTTTTTGATAAGCTCCTTTAAAATGTGATAGTTTTCTTTCAAAGTGCATTCAGTCTATCTATTTAAACAAAATAATAATGATAACGAATCAATGTTTTTTTGATTTGAATCATATTTGAAGTTCAGGCAAGGAAAGCAAACAAACCGCAGAAGTTAAAGAAACTGAACCTTTACACACTCTGGTGCGTGATGCAGCTGCAGTAAAGTGATGTGCAAAATGAAGATATCAGCATGGATCTTTTAATATTTATTTTAACTGAATAAATTTTTATTTGGTACAAACCTGCAAATTAGACCAAACTGTGCAACGAAAGAAAACTATGCAGCAGCTATAAAGAGTTTGCAGAAATGCAGAAATCAAAGGATGTGGATAATGCGTTAAAATTGAGGGTGCAGTGCATACATGCAGTGATTTACACAAATGTCCTCCTTCTTTAGAGTCTACACATTTAATTAAAGCAGAGTGGACATCATAGTACCAGCTTTAAGTAGTTAGGAGGGCTATGACTGTGATGACGACTGGTGCTTGGACCCTAATAAACCAGCGATTAACCCCACCACCCCTGAACAGAGATAAACCGTGCATACGTTCAGGAAAAGGTTGGTGTGGAGAGTCTGGAGGAGAGAGGACGAGATGAATCTCCGATCTAGAGCCCATCATCTGCTGGTGGATAGGAGCATCTGTCAGTCACCTCCTCAGGGTGGAAAACACAAATCTGCGAGAATCCACACAGAAAAGATCAGACTTCATTTCGGAGTCCAGTGTCTCCGGAAACATTTGGTCATTGTTGTGCAGACGGCTGTGGTTGAAAGCTAACCTTTAGGCCAGTTTACAGAGGACTTTGGGATATTACACACCTTTCAGAGGGTTTTCAATCCAACAACAACACAAACCTCAGTGTCTAAAAGTCAGAAAATGTCACGCTTATTTCCAGCCTTCACTCACAGAAACGTTAGCTCAGGCTCTAGTGAGTAAAGAGAGTTAGGGTTGGAGTAGAGTAGAGGTTTCTCTACACGTCTCAAAGATATATCCCAGAGTGAAGGTTTATTCACAACTTTTAAACAGGTGTGCACTCGCTTTGTGCTGGTAGGACTTGTATGGAAGCTGAGTGTGGCACATTTGAGGTTAAAGTCCTGAAAAATCAGAATTAAATCATGTTTTCATGTTTTTTTCTGATGGCTATGACTTGAGGGAACCATGTGTGTGTGTTAGTGAAAAGGTTAGATTATTGTTGATGTGAGAGATCTTCACTTTACGTACAAAAAACTCTGTTTATCTTGTCTGACATCATGGCAGCTTACACTTTCTTTGAGCATATTTCTACTTTTACGTGGCGCACATGATCTTCAAACCTGGTGATAAAAATCACAAAACCAGAATGAAAAATGATTTTAGTGTGGAAAGAGAGAGCGGCCAAAACTGTGGATCCTCCCTTTAAAGCGGGACAGGAGGCTCAGCAGAGTCTCATAAAAACACGTGTCGACTCTGAGGAACATACTCAGCATCTTTGGATTAAACCGAAGTGATTGCAGACCCGCCGAGGTTATTTGAACCTTTATTACTTTTCCCCCTGTGAGTCTGTTGTCAGAGCTGGTTAGCTTCCACTCCCACCTACATCAGCGCTGGAGGACTTGAATAATTCATGCTATCTGCGTTATTTATGTATTCGCTTATTCATGAAGGCACAGATCTGTATGTGCCGTGTCGCTGCTGGGGGGAGGTAAATGAAGACGTCGGGTGAGTTCGAGGCGGCCGAGGAGGGGCTTTTATTTTGTAATTTTCTTTAGATTCTAATAGTGTCATGAAATTGGATTGTGTACGAGTCATGATTCCATAAAGAGACTGTGACCAATGCATGTTGAACAGACAGAGCGGCCTTGTTCTGCCTTTTGTCTTCCTCCCTGACTGACTGAATGTCACCCTCGCTTCATCACTTCCCCAGAAAAACAAAAAGTGTCTGCTGGAGAGCCCGCAGAGCCTCAGGCCAGGGCTTCCCTCAGCAGCCACCATCACTAATCTCATTTACCGCGCCGTCCTCCGACAGCAGGAAGAAACAGACGGAGAGTAATCTGGAAAAAATGAGGGAGCGGAGGAGTCACGGAAAAGGGGCGCGGGGAGTTGGGAGATAAGGGGGCTAAAGTCAGGAAGCTGGTGGCAGATAGCGGCGGCTCAGATAAGAGCCACATCACAGAGCTGATCAGCAGCTGCACTGTTAGCGCTGATGTGGTGATGTGAGCGTTAACATGACGGAGAAAATCCCAGAGTTCAGCCGCTGAAATCCACTTTAACGCTCTTATCCTCCCAGACAAACTGTTGCTGCAACAATTCAACTCAACTCAACCGCTGATCCGGGCTCGCCTTTGACTCGAAGTGTTGCATGAAACTTTACACAATGGTAATATAACAGGGGCACTTCGGTACAGTGAAAAATTAGTACTCAGAAATAATTCAACTTTAGATTAAGCTGTTATAGTTCGAATTTGGTGATAATTTTTACTGTTTTTCTGGTTTGGTGACTTTTATGTTTTTATCTAACCAGACAAACTGATGTCCATGTCACATCTGTCTTGGAAGCATCCCATTGACGATCATTAGAAAAGGCAGAACCTTTCAAAATAAAACTTGCCTTTGCTTCATTCCTCTCAGAAGACGTTGTCTAATTCTTAACGCACAAAGGTTTTAACGCTCCTCAAACATCACAGCGTCTCTGTGTGCTGATCAATTTAATTGATCCATCATGTATAAATCTGGAGTTGATTTAGCCTTCCTTCCTCTCAGCCTTACTGTGAAAAAAAACATTGGTAAAAACCGTTGAAGCTGCTGCGGCCGAATACTGAAAGCCGACTTCGTAAAGTTCGTGACCCTGAGCCGTCAAAGGGGGTGTGACCGCAGACTGAATCCTGATCTTTGATATTAAGGATGTATATTGTTGTTTTACTTCATTGTGAACAATCCCCTTTACTTTTCTACGATACGCCTCTAAAGAGAGCATACTTCACCAGACCAAAGTATCGCCATAGCAACGCCAACACTCATTGGTTTAGTCATTCTGTGGCAGGAAACAAGGTCCCAACTTGAAATTTGGTTTTCCAAGAATGGATTTCATAGATTTTAGAGTCTGAACGGCGTAAAGGTTAAACAGGAAATATTTTGTTTTATAGTTAACCGTATTGAACATGGATGTAGTGTTTTACTACGTCGAAAGATGGCGATCACCTTTGAAAATGGAGTTAACCAAGAGTGGAAATGCTAACTCAGCCTCACTTCATCTCTGTGTATAAACAGGTCAGGAGCTGGAGTTAAAATCCAGTCCGTGTTGAGATTTCCTCATGGGTTAATTGTTTTATTCATATAAGAGGGTAGTTAGTTTAGTTTAGGTCAGAAGGAGGGATCTTGAGGGGTTGTCCTCCTCTTTAAGCTCTTTGGCTTCCTCAAACCCTGAAAATGTCTGAATAAGACAAAAGTCTATTCTAGCCTTGTGATGTCATCAATGGAACAGAATTCCCCCAACGATGTCACAAGACTAAATTCTATTCTAGCCTTGTGATGTCATCATCAATGGAACGGCATTCCCCTCATGATGTGGCAAGACTACGTTCTCACGTATCCATGGAAACCAAATAAAAAAATAAAAAAAAACAGACCACAGAATAATAACAATACAATTATATGAACGATGAAACTAAAGTAGCAAAATCTTGGAGAAGAAAACTGTGCAACAAGTGCACCAATGACACACATGAGCGTCTAAGAAATCCTGTCAGGAGGAATTGACTCAGTGAACCAGAAGCCAAATGAGAACAACAAGTTCTGCGTCCAAGAACATGAAGGATTTGACAGATTTATTCAGGCCTAAGTGAGGGTCCACATAGCTTTCTCCTCTTTAGGGATGATTGGTTTGGTTTTACACAATCAGAGACTCTGCTGTTTGCTCGTAATTATTCTGTAAGCGACCCCGAATGAGGCCGTAAACCAAGTACAGATACAGAAGTGAAAGGAGAGGCTGTCGGAGATGGAAGATTTTCCATTTCATGGAATATTCCAGTATTCATTTTTAAGGTTTAGCGGTCACAGCAGAGCGTCAGAGTCGTTTCCCTCCAGAGATGGGATCTGATTCGCTGCCGCCTTCTTAATATTTCGGCTCCTCCAAAGCGAGGAGAGCTGCAGGGAAATCTAACGGTGTGACTGATGGAATTAACCGCAGGGAATCTCCCTGGAAAACACTCGACTAAACGACGCCTCAGTCATCAGTGACAGAGGATGATTATGGCAAAGGGCTGAGGGGAGTCCAGCAGCTGAGCTGAGAGAGAGAGAGAGAGAGAAAAGATGACAACAAATGAACGCAGCAGGAGAGTCACATTTATGAGAATATTACAGCTAAAAACTCGGAAACTTCACATGCAGAACAAGATCCAAGCAGTCAGGAGGAGATTCAGAGACAAAAGCACGACCCTAGAAAAGGGACAATGCAACAAGTTCAGGGATCAGTGTGATTACAGAAAACAGGGAAAAGCCAGGAAATGTGAAAACGGACACACTTAAACTTCGTACCTTTTAAAAGTTCTATATAAAAGCAGACAGTTTATCACACTAGCTTACAGTGACACGTCCTTTTTGGCGAGCTCTATGGACGGCATTACTGCCAGTATATAATGATATTTTATTCCTTCTATAAATGCAGTGTTGTAACTCCCTTTTGCAAACTGTTTCTTACTTCGAAAATGTGCCTCCTCTTCCACTACATCGCCAAAATGGTGACCATCAAAGTGCCAAATTAAACTTTTTAACCTCTCCATTAACTCTACTGCACTGCATTCAGACTCGAATCCAGTGAACTAAACATATGTAATACCTTTACTTTGGTTTTATTCACATCTGTGCAACAAACATGTTCATGTAAAATGAGACGAGAAGTTCATCTTCTTTGTCTGAATTTGTTAAAAGTTTAGACAAAAATATAGCCTCATGTTGTTTTGATCACGTTTGAAACTTTGACCCGTTGTTTTTTCTTTAGGAATCACCGGAAGTGGATCGAACTGGGTCACTGACATCCTGAAATACACCTAAAAAAAAACACCTTTTAGGGGATTCAACGCCATGACGCAGTGACGCATGAATTCATGGTTAAAGATTCCCTAACCAAAATCTGAGCGTGTAAATAAAAACACGTTTCAGAAGTTGAACATTTCTTAATTCTTCATCTTTTTTAAGTTCATCTTTGGAAATATTCTCATAATCTGAATTTCATGAGCTGTAAACCAAATGAAAACAAAATTAGACCTGAAAGGATTAACTCAACAGAGAACAAATGTGGATTATATAAAAGCTAACCTTTAGAAAATTAAAATACAGTAAAAATCAACTTTTCTAAGGTATTCCAGTTTGATAAGATGTGTCTGTAAATGTGTTTAAACTGAATATTTAGATTTACCTTTTATCTATTTCACATCCATATTTTTGAAAGAAGTCAAAAGTGAGGGGGGTGTTAAGAAGGTGGGAATCTTACCTGAGATCTGTCAGTGGCAGGTTGTGTGTTTGACTCCAGGCTTGTGTATCAGTGTGTGTTTGTCTTCATACAGTATCTGTCCCTCATCTCAAACCTCATGAATAAATTACGACCTGAAGTTTGGAGGCAGAAGCTTCAGTCTGGAATCCTCTCGGTCTCGGTTTCGTTTCCCCGCTCGTCCGGCTCGTCTTCTTTGTCGACGAGGCGGTTGACCCGGCGGCGTCTTCATCTCCTCGGTGACTGATCGGAATGGGGGGGGGGGGACGCTGCCCGCGGCCGACCTAAATCTTTGATGGTACCCTGAGGCCCCGTAAGCAGAGCCAATAACCGGGAGACGGCTGTTCTCTGCTGCTGTCCATGAAAAAAACATTCAGCTCAAACAGGCGTTGCGGGCGATTCGTCCATATGTATGAATGTGTTTATGACGCTGCTGAATTATTGGGCGAGCTGATTTTCGTTCCCCTGAAAAGTGAGTTTAGACTGTGCGGGTCTGCCTCACTGCTCCTGGATGTGATATGAAAACTCAGGAGCCTGAAGGCAGCACGAACGGTGCGTTCACAGGCACTAGGGTTCAGCAGACTGTGTGTTTCTGTGAGGACATAAACCGGAGAGGTCTCCGGTTTATTCTTAAAGCTGTACGTCATTTCTGATGTTTATCCTTAGAAGGCTGTAGAGTGTCTAAAACCTGATGACAAAGCTTTCAAAACAATAAAGAAAAACAATAACAAAAACAGAAGTTACTGAAAAAAGGGAGAAGTAGGGCTGAGCGATAAACCGAAAATTTACGACAATAAGCAACGTCGTTTTGCTCATGTCAATATATTCAGTGTCAGAAAAATAACTAGAAGTTGGTTTTGGATGTGTGTAGGTACATGCTGTAGTAAGACGAAGTTAATGTGGGAGGGGGTGAGCAGCTTGCGGAGTAGTTATCGTCCATTTATCGTTCTTGAGGTGAACTGATCAATATGTCCTGATACCGATTTGAGGCCACATCGCCCAGCCCTAGAGAGTGTCACCACAAGCTTAGTAATGAACGATGTAGAATACAAACTTGCACGCCACACTGTTGCATCTCTAAAACTGCATCATCTTCGTGTAGGCGGTTTAAGTGTACGTTTAAGGAAAGGCTGATGAACTTCCTCACAGCTATTCTTGTTAACATGTGGTGCACATGCATCAGGGGTGACCGGATTGTGTACGTCTGCTTAGTGCTGTTAGATTAGATTAGATTAGACTAGATTAGTTGTGTTTACCGTCTGAACGGAGGTGAGACGAACTGAAATCTGTTTCTTCCTGCGATATCCAGTCAGAAACTCCTCCCTCCTTCCCTCTGAAATATTTTGGCCTGAAATACTCAAATCTAACCTGGATCAGGGGAATCAGAAAATCAACATTCCTCACTTTAAACTTGGGTTTTAAAATGCCTAAACCAAAAATGTTCGGTCTTTGAGACAATCGGAGACAAAGTCAAGAGATTTATGAGTTTAGTGAAGGAAAAATCATATGAAGACCGTCTCTCTCTGTGAATTTACAGTTTCTTTAAAAAGTCCAGGCCTCAAAGGCACATATGTCAACCAAAAGCCAATTAACCTTTTTAAGATAAGACGGAGATAGTAACTCTGTGGTTAGACCTCACACATGCAAATGTTTTTGACGCTTTAATGATGTAGAATCGCCAAATTTATCCGCAGACATGCTGTGAACGAACTCACACAGAGACGGACAGAAAGCGTCCATAAAAAGAGGAATATTAGGAGATGAGAGGCGAAAAGAGCTTCTTTGTTTAGTCTCATTATTCGTAGGCGTATCAGCTTCCTAACACAGCCGATTGGAGCTGCCAAGCCTTTTCTGGAGGCAGAGGCTAAGTAAGCACGCCGCCGCTGCCAGCAGTTTGTTGGCAAACGCTAACCGCCACCTGCTGCTGCTGTCGAGGTGGCGTTCGCCGCGACCTGGCAGAGCATCTGGCAACCAGAGAGTCGGCAACGTCCCCCGAGGGCCCGGCTCAGTCACCGCCAGCCAGCTCCCATCTCCCCCGCTGTGGAGGATTTCAAGGGTGTAACGTACGATGTAAACGAGGCCTTTTTATAATGCTGAGCACAAACGCACCGAGAGAGGAGGAGGAGGAGGAGGAGGGAGGAGGATAAAAAGAGACGAGAGGAGGAAAAGAGGAGTAAATTTTACAGACAGAATCGAATAAAGATCCCGGAGTGTTCAGAAGATAGATTTGTACCTAAGATGTTTAATTTAAGACCAAAACCACTGAATGTAAATACAAACGCTCACATCTTTGAGATTTGGCCAAGAAACCTGATTCAGAAGTGGAGCGAAGTCCTCTCGGTTAATTCTGCACACTGAACCAGAAACTTCACAAATCAAGACCTGAACTCAAAACATAAAACATGAATATTCATGTTTACCCATTGATTCAAACACACAGCAGTTTGTGACTGAAAGAGCGTCAAAAATAATTCAGTGAAGTAACGAAATGATTCCAGAAAATGAAGTCTGTCTTTTCTTTTTTTTTGTTCTTCTTGAATCATGAGTGAACAAACGTGCTGATTTCTTTAGGATGGAGCACAAAATTTAGAACTTTTGAGACATTTGAACATTAGTAGAAATAAAAAAATACAACAGTTTAATGACAGAATTTTTCAGCCAATAGAAAAATTCAGTTGCAGTAGCGGGTTTCCACCTGTAGAGGGCACTTACCTTACATGTTTCTATCGAGGAATTTAAAGACTTAAACATTGAGATTCAGATCTGAGTTGATCCACACTGCTGCTCAATATCTACCTGACTTGATTCTTAGCTGAAGTAAACGGGTCACGTCTGGAACCGCCTTGTTCTGTTTGAGAATTTAGCTCGGTACACTCCGACATCTCAGCATTCTGACATCCCGCCACTCCGACACCTATATGTCTCATCATTCCGACGCAACTTTCCATATAAGGGAGAGGGGGGTGTGCCTTCACATCTGGAGTCTGTCCCGAGCGTAGCTGGGCACGCCCCGCGCCGAACCCACGCAGAGGGCTCCACGGCGGTGCGGCAACTGGTCGGGCGTTTGTCCTGCTTTGATTACGGCACGTTGTAATATATTAGAGATTTTATTTACATTGATGTTGGAATCAGTACACCCACGTGTCTCTGTATTTGCGTCACCGGCAGTGCTCTTAAGCACCAGCTCCACAGCGGGATGGTGGGATGTTTGAAAAAAGAAAAAAAAAAAAATACTGCCACTCCACCATAGCAGACGATAGCTGTCGGAATGACGGGACATTTGATAGCATGGCAACATACCGCCACTCTGGCAATTAGAGATCAATGTCGGAATGGCGGTTGCCCGAGTCCAAAAACTCGCTTTCATAGGATAAAATCCGATTCTTTGAAGTTTTGGTTTTTGTGGGTCTGTTTGTCTTCGGCCTACTGTACATCACTGAAGCAAAAAAAATTAAAATAACTTAAAGAATAAAATCCAAAAGTGACGGGGAAAACTGAGCAGAATTTGTGGTTTGTGGAGTTTGATCGTCAGCCTCTTTGTGACAGCAGTAAACCGGCTGCAGCTCTGAGCCGCAGAAAAACAACAAAACCCTGTCACAGCTGTCAGTCATCGCTGACAGTTCACCCACACTTTAACCACTTATTAATTACCCATTATCAATTAATCACAGCTGAATGGAGGAAGGGCAGCCCTCATAACCAGCTGACAGTTCAAAGGAAAAGTCAGCGTTTCAGAAATGCCCAATTTTCAAGTTCGGAGGAGTTCGATTTCAACATGTAGCTTCACGTGCAGCCAGAGGACTCTAGATAACCTTTTCTCCTGTAGATCGTGTTAACATGGTCAGATGACAAATCAGTATAAATCTGTTTTCTTCTTTCTTACTACAGATTGGAGGTGCAGACTTGTTGTAGACTGTTCAGGGTATGTGGACGCTTTAATCAGTGTTTTGTAAAAATGAAGTCAAATATCTGCTTTCAATCAAACTTGATGTAGACTCTGCGAACCTGCTGAAGACTTTGCTGACCTGTTGTAGATTGAGTAAGCATACTGGTGACTTTGCTGGCCTGGTTTTGCCTCTGTCAGTGTATGAATGCATGAAACAGACCTCTTCCAGCCTGCTGTAGACTGAGAGCTGACTGCTGAAGTCCAGTAGCTGTAAGAACTGCTGTCGGCATTAGTTAAACTCAGTGTTTTTGACTCCACTGCAGCCTTTGGTTGTAAACTTTACAAACCTGTAGATGATGCAGACTTGCTGTTTAGACTCTACCAGCTTGATGGTCTAATCTAGACCTTGCAGACCTGTTTAAGACCTTACTGGCCTGCTCTTTCACCAGGTCAACCTGCTGTAGAGTCTGCATGCTTGTTGTGGAGCCTGCAGACCTTCTTTTGACTCTACCATCCTGCTGTGTATCATCACACTGATACTTCCTGCTGACATTGTTAGCAGTAAACCAGCCTGTTGCAGATTTTGCAGACCTGCTGTAGACTGTGCTAGCCTACTGTTCACCTTGATGGTCAGATCTAGTCTTTGCAGGTCTGCTTTAGACCTTATTGGCCTTCTCTTTAACCATGGAAACCTGCTGTAGACATTGCCTACCCTCTAGCTGCCCTGTCTTTGACGTCGCCCTCCTGCAGGTCCTGGTTTTTGAGTATCAGCAGGGTCAGGAGGTCAACCACCAGCACCACCTTGGTTTTAGACATCACAAGTGCGCCCAGGCTCTGGAGACGTGTCTTCTTCACTTCTTTAGGACCTAGAAATCAAAGCAGAGAGGGTTAACCATCATCGTGATCAACAGGAAACGTGTTCTGCTTCATGAAAATAAGGAAATCAGCTGTGGCAGGAAGAGGCGGCAGATCAAGGATGATGTCCCGACAGCTCTGGACAAAGATTATGTTTCAGGATTTATTATTATTGATCATAACTTGTTGTTTCTGCAGCTGTAACGCTCACCTTTACATCTCTTGTTTTCTCGTTCTTGTTCTGCATGAATATTTCATCGTTTATGTCATGCTCTGTTGTTTACCAACCGGTTTCACCTTGAAATGCACCTTGAGGGATGAATGAAGTATTGTGAGCGGCGCTGAAAAGTTTGACAACAGCTCAGACCAGGAGAAAACTTGTGTTTGTGTGCAGTCTTCACTTTCTGATTGATTTCTTTGGGATAAGTTGTTTTTCATTCGGTATGAGCTGCACATTAAAGATTATTATGTTTGCTTCCGAAACACGAAACATCCAGATGAGACGAATCGAGCTGCAGTTGTTTGTCCCGTTTCCTTTTGTGCCTCTTATATTCACATGAAACGGCAGCTTTTTCAGGAGATAACGCCAACCAATGAGCCTGATAATTACAGGAAACCGATGCATTAAATTGTCCTGATTCACACATTTATGAGTTGTTTTCTTCTCTACGAGCTTCACATACAAACACAACATTGCCTCGAAGCACCCAGCACTGGTTTCTGTCAGGATAACATACGAGTGGTGTGATGTGTTGACCTCTGACCTCCCCTTAGTGTTTTCACTCCCACGTCTTTTCTCCCTCCGTCCTCCCACTCATCACTCTCCCTTCCATCATCCAGCCCAGCGAACAGCCCGTTATCATCGGGACGGCGTTTAATTTCACAGAGCGCTTCGATTATCAGCCAGCATCACTTTAGGAAAACAGAGAGTAGAGGAGAAGAAACGCCTCCAGCTAACGCAAAAAAAAAAAAAACATCACCCACTGTTTATGCAGTTACTGTCGAAAAACATATAACACAAACAAGATCTTTAATAATCGGACGAAATGTCCAAAGGCTTCAATATGCCCTCGGTTCAAGAGTGAGCAAATCGACAACCCCTCGCCAAATCAGGTCCAAGATTAAAACCAGCGAGGGTGGAGATGTTTTCAGAATATTTAACTAAGATTAAAGTTGAATCAGCCAGACAAAAGAAAAAAAAATGCCCTGGTGTCCAAATAAATCATAAGAAATTCCCTTTCAATAGCCTGTGTGTACAACTGCTTATCAATAATGAATCTGGAGACACTAATAATCACAAGAAAACAAAGAATCCCTGATGAACACAAGTGAGAAGAGCTCAGTCCATTAAACCTATATCACACCTGAAACCGAAACTGAGGAGCAAAAAAAGGAACTGGAAGACCGAGACTCAATCGCAGATCCGTTTTTTAGACCATGTCCTCTCTTAAAACTCTTTAAGAGGTTTTAACGTTCACCAATGTTCTCCTATCTATTCCCTATTCATCAAAATAACTGTATTTATGGCGCTTTTATGGATGACACTTTTAAAAACAAAAGTTTACAAAGAGCATACATGGAAAATAAACCAACAGCAAGAGAGCTCAACAAAAACTGAACCTGACCCTCAAAGAAATAAATAAAAAAGAACTCAAAGAGAATAATTATCTGAAAACATCACAAGAAACCAGAAACACCTTTAAGACCTGAGTCTTAACTGAGACCTCAAGGACCAAGAAGTAAGACAACAAGAGTAAATCAGTGAAATAGAAACGAAGACAAGAGAAGGCAGACTGTCCTGATGGAGTATGGACTGTGAGTGTTCCACACCTGCAGGGACCTAAAATATCAGTTCAGCTTTTAAGAATAAATGTAGTAATCATTAGATATGATAATATGTCAGTGTTTTATATTTTCACACACACATTTCACGCAGTGCATAGAGAAGTTCATATGTGCCTGTAATGGAAATGAGAAACTTTGCCTCGATAAAAATAAAGAATTAACATAAAGTGGAGTTAAATAAAGTCTGAACTCTGAGATTAAAAGTCAAGATATTAAGAAAAATGTAATAATCAAATTAAAAAGAAATAATTCTGAGATATGAGGTCATGGTTATAATCAAAAAAGTCAAAATTATGAGATAAATAAGTCTGAATAATAACATTAAATGTATGAATATCTCAAAGTCATTACCAACTTATCATTTAAACCTATTATTTCATAACTCTGATCCATCAACTCATTACTTTACTCAAGTTTCTCATAATTTTGATCCATCATCTCATAATATTGACCTGTCATCTCATAGTTTTGACCTAATATCTCATAAGTTTGACTATCATATCATACTTTTGACCATCTTTCTCATAAGTTTGATCTCTCATCTCATAATTTTGACCCATTCTCATAATTTTAAACTGTTATCTCGTAATTTTGACCCATTATCTCAATATTTTCACCTATCATCTCATAATTTTGACCTCATCATGTAATTTTGACCTGTTTGTCTTTTTTTTACGTACCATCTCATAATTTGTGCTTGTTTTCTCATAATTTTGACCAATTATCTCATAAATCTCATAATATTGACCCTTTTACTCATAGTTGTGACCCATCATCTCATAATTTGTGACTGTTTTCTCATTATTTTGACCCTTCTACTCATAGTTGTGACCTGTTATCTCATAATTTCCACTTCCTTCCTCACATTTATGACTTTTTCACGTCTAGCTGGTCCTCCATTTCTGAAGTCCTTCTAACTTTCTCGTCTGTGTTTACTGTGTCTTCACTCATTTTCAGTCTGATTGGCTTTTGTTCCGTTCCACTCGACAGTCCCAGTGCTGCACACTCAGCTGTCCTCAGGGTTTCTGATCATATTCATGAATAACATTCTGGAGATCAAATCAGTGAGGCTGTCTTCGAAGCACTTTAGGGGAAGTTAAATCACTCTTTATGCTCATTACACCACAGGAAAATAACTGAGACTTGGCTCTGGAGGGGGGAACTGGTCCAGGAATCTGGCCTGCTGTCTGTCCACTGTCACCTCAGTAAGGACTCGAACCTCAGGCCACAGCGTGAAACCTTTTGTTAACTGGATATGAACCATCACTGAGGCTGTGGTTTTTATCTCCACAGTAGAGAAGATGTGATATTTGATCAGACTAAATAACCAACATGTCTCTATTTTTCACTCAGCCATTTTTCACAAACCCAGTCTCCTGTTTTTTTAGCGTGCATTATTTCTGCTTCCACATTATCCCTCATGCATGGAGGTGTGGCTGAAAAATCTAAAAATGTGGAAAATAGTAAGTCTCAGCTCGGCCTGCAGACTCAGCAGTAAATGAATTATTGAGAAGAGTGTATCAATAATGCATCATCAATAGAAACCAGGAATTCTTCTCCAGGCTCCTCCAGCTAACTCACATTCACACAAACACTCGCACAATCACACACTCACTGAAGACGTCGGCAGATTTCACTACTTAATTCTCACACCGTCGTCCGTGAGCTTACATTTAATGGGGTTAAAGTAGTCTTTAAATTACACACTTGTATAGTAAAACGTCTAACCAACACATGCTAACACGTGCTAATGGTGAAACCCTTCTGCAAAACCTGACCGTGTACGTCTCAGTGCGATCTCTGTGTGGCTCCGAGTTTTGAATATTTGGGTTTTCTTTTATTAAATCAGAAGCATAGATGTAGATGTCCAATAAATATAATCAAACCCATGACAGCTGCAAAAATAAGTAAAATACACGCATATCAGCTCTTCAACCCTTTTGTTTGTTAGATTTAGATGTTTTTTTTTTTCCTTTTTTAACTGCAGATAAGTGTTAATAGTCAAAGTGGGAAAACACATAAGAATATAACCACTGTGACTAAAGATGATATAATCTTCTCACTTCTGCTGCTAGAAAAAACAACATATTATTACAGTGGATCGGTGACAAAAGCCCCTCTGTTCGACGATGGTGTGAAGTTATATCTGAGCCGGTTCCTTTGGAATATCTTCCAAGTGTTGCACATGCAAAAATAGATCAGGTCTACAAAGTCTGGCAGCTTTATCAGGGCTCTCTTTGTTAGCTTGTTCGGTGGCTTTGTTTCTGTTCTGTTGGTCATTGTGTCGTGACTTTTAGGGGAAAACTGCCAGATTTCTTAAGAACAACTTAAGTATTTTTTTTCCCAGTCTAAACAAAGTTGTGTTTTTATAAACAGTCCTGTTTGGAGAAGCTGAGAAAATGATAAATACGAAAATACAGGTGTGTAGAAAAAGTCCCTCTGGGGAAAAACTGTCCCTCAGTTTGTTTCGAGAAGAGAAAAATCACTGGAATGGACTGAATATTTTCACTATCACTCGCTCTACAGCGGTTTGTGCTTGTTGTTGATTATGTTGCAGAAACAAAGAGTGGCCACGGTGTTGGCAGAGAGGAATGGAGGGGCTTGCGTGTTGATGTAAATGTGGAGAACCAGGTTCATATCTGAAGCCCGAGGCTGCTGAAGGCTCTGATGATCCCTAAGGTTTTGAATAACTCAGCGCAGAATGACGAATCCTGTCAGGAGCACCACTGGGACCGAGAGACAACAAGGCACCGCTGCAGGGAGGAAAACTCTTTTAAAAAAATAATAAAGGCAACCCTGATGACTCGCTTTTATCTCCCCCCAAAAATGAGATGTTTGGTCTGAAAAAAAAATGAAAACAACTCGAGGTTTCTCAGAGGAAAGCCTGCGTGAAACGAAGCTGCAGTCGTCTGGAGAAAACAGCAGTTTGTTGTTCTAACAGTGTGATGATAAAGACCACGGACACCCAGTTGTGAATCCATATTCAGACACGCAAGCATCAAACATTTATGAAATATGAACAAAAAGAGGGTTTGAATAAAAGAAAATCATGTTTTTATCCTTTTGATGGTATTTATCGTCTGGAGTGGGAAATTAAGGACTTCATTTAAAGATTCTAATTTTCTGCTCAAGTAAAATCAAAATTAAGAAGCTTGTGAACAAAATAAAAACAATATGAAGTAAATCCGTCTGTTAAAGTTCACATTTACTCATATGGAGGTCAGATAAATCTGTGTTTTCTGAGAATATCAGCCAGAAGGAGGAAAAAATGGTCAACATATAAAACACGGATGTTAGCTAGACTAGAACTGGATGATAGAGACAATCAATGTTGGATTATTACTGGTGAAGTAGATCACCAGAGGAATTCTGGATCTCCAATGGGATACTGGACCATCAAATGGACACTGAACGGCCAGCTGGATCACTCGATGCCCGCTGGAATATCCAACCTGGGTGGGAAAATGGAATGGCAGTGGGATATCCTGTGGATCCTGATCTGATACAGAAATTCCAACAGTATAATGAATTACCAGTTGGACTTGGAGTCAATATAATAATGCCAGTGAGATGTTGGTTTGCTACAAGGACTGTAGATTACAAATGGGATGGTTAAAAAGGGGTCCTGGACCATCAGTGGTTTGTGTGATATAAAAAAAGTTGAATTGCTGATGAGGAAGTTAAATTACTGAAAGGATGTTGGATTACCGATGGGATAGTGGATCACCAGTGCCAGTGGTATGGTGGAGTGCCAGTGAGATATTGGATTCCTAACCAGATACTAATGTCATACCGGAATACCAATGGGATGCTGGAATGCTGACAGGTCTTTAGATCTCCTATGCGATGGTGGATCACCGGTAGAATTCAGAAGCGCCCATTCAAATATTAGAAGAAGGATCAGATATCGGTTTAGCCAGTTGGATTCTCAAATGCCCGTGAGCTGTATTATTCCTGAGTGGACACCTTCATGATACCGGAGCAGCAATGGAATATACGATTTCTATGGGGAAAGAGGGACTTAGATCACTATTGGGATGGTGGATGTCCATTGAGGATATTTGGGTCCCCAGAGGGAGGATGGATCATCACTAGATTATTAAACCACAGATAGGGTTTGGATTGCCTGTAAGATAGTGAAATACCAGCAGGTTATTGGATTACTTCTTGGTTGCCAAAACTGGTGCCAAAGGTTTATGGTGCCAGAGTGCTTGGTAATGGGATGATAGATTTTACACATGTGGAGTATTCTAGTATTAATATCCAAACAGAGGAATACAGGGATAATAATAGGCCAAAATATATAATACATATTCATTTAAAAAAATGTAAAAACTAAAACTGAAAAGATAAAACACAGCACATGATTTGATAGTTATTCAAGACAAACAGAATCCTAAAATTCATTTGACATTTTAAAGATTTAAAAACAAGACTAAAATTAATTCTGAAAGCTGCGGATAGATGAGGGTAGAGTAACATTTTTATTCCACTTATGTGCATTTAAACAGAAGCTTTTCAAACCATAATTAGTAATTAAGCAGCAGAAAACCCTTTCATGCATTTTGCATCAAGATTTTGGAAATATTTAAGATCTTTAAACCCTGGAATTAAGAAATCCACCAAAGACTAACCCAAGAACTGTAGGAAAATCAGGCAGATGGAGAGAAAATGGCAGTAAAAGAGAGAGAGGCAGGGAGCTAATGCAGTTTAATCAGAGCTGGCGGCTCCTAATGAGATGTTTTTGTGTCCTCATTACGTCAAAGCCGCTCGCTCCGTTTGCATGAAAGCAAATTCGACCCCTGAGAGACCAACTTCCTGTGCACTGAGTTCTTCCCCCACCAAAGCTCCGCCCCTACCCCTCTGATTGACAGTCACCAAGTTGAATACACGGGTAATAAGAGTAAAATGCTGTAAAATTTAAACCTAAAGAAAATAGATTGGTAGAATCACAGCTGGTGGAAATGAAATGCATGATGGGTAATTGTATGATGGGCTGTTTGGTTTAATGAATGTTGCCACACAGACTTTCATGGCTATGAATAAAACAGAGTGTTAAAGTAAAAGGCAGCACCGTATCTTTTACCACCAGTCAAAATATCCGCCGTGATACTGGTAGACAAACCTTTTAGAGTGGATAGCAAATGGATGTTTTGTAGCACAAAGCATGCTGGGATACGCAGCAGCACAGACAACATCTTGTCTTGAACATGCAACTCAATAAAAAGGTGGTATGTGGTGACGAAGGTTGGGATGAAGTGGGATCAGTCTGTCACGTCAAAACACCTCACAAGAACATGGTGCACATGTGTTTGGAGCATCCTCCTGAACAAGCTGACTCAAAAGTTACCCGAAAAAACAAGAGTCAAAATTTTATAATAACAGCAAACATGGCGGTGATATTAATCATGTATCTGTTTGAAAAGAGGCGAAATCAGAGGCTGCGTTACAGACCGCGGTCTGAGCTACGATTTAGATCTTTTACAACCTCGGGATGGAGAACTCAGTTTTTTCAAAGTATGACATGTTTCGAGCTGCAGATGGTTTGAATTATTGCTTTTACTGCCCCCACAGTTTTTGGGTGGTACTGCAACGTTTGGTTCGCATATGCACAGAGGGCTCGGTTCATATCTGTGTGCGTCTCTATACGAAAAAAAACATAAATTGAGTTTTGAAGAAGATCTAGTAGTCGCCTAAAAACTCTTAATGCGGATGAGAGACCCTGTAAAACTGAACTGTTGGATAAAGAAAATTAGGATTATGACGTCTCTCTGACAAATCTACTTTTAAGAAAAATGTACATGCTTGACTTCGTCCAGACCTCGTTCTTAGGTTGTTGGTTGCGTTGTTGCTTCTAAACAACATTTGCCATCAGCTGATATTGTCAGTGTGTTTTTTTGTTGTAAGAGAATCAAAAACAAGACCAAACAATAAGCGAAGGACAAGTGATGGACAAACGAGCGAAAGGATAGAAACACTTCCCTCAGAGTTTCTTTTCAGCAGTTCGGTGCTTGTTTGGTTGTTGGACATAAATGCTAAATTCAGGAGCAGGTGTCTTTTGTTTTGCCAAACTCATGGTGTTCTGAATTGTATGTGTGGGTTTTTGTCTGTTACAATATTGTCAGAGTAATAAAAGCTGCAATAATTGTCTGTCTTTGGCTCAAACAGACAGGCCTACAGGGTGCTGTGCTGCAGTCAGTAATGTGGACTATTTTCCGTCTTGAAAAGCAGGCAGGTCCTGCAGAAGCAGAAAAATAGAGTGAGAAAATACCAATTAAATATTTTGGAGGAGGTGTTGTGACCCCTCTGGTTCCTTCCTCCTGCAGCGTTTTATCACTCCGGCAGTTCTCTGAGACTCAAACTGTTTTAATAAGACCGCAACTTTCCCCTTATCGCCAATAAGGCCTCTCGGTCTGCAGCTCCAGATCTGCTGAGAGGCCTTTTCTCTCACCAGAGACATTAAAACGTGCGGATAAAGTCCACGGCAGCATGAAAACCGCTGTTCACACCTGGACCGCTGCTGTTCAATCAAAGTGTAGGAGTCCTGTTCAAACAGAGCGAAAAGACAGATTAGCAGAAAAAGGCTGTTTCTAAATATCAAGAGATCCTCATTCGGTCTTCGTTGTGTTTAAGTATCATAATATATAATGTATCATACAATATGATAGGTGAGTTTTATTGATCCCTGAAAGGAAATTCATCTGTCTGGAATCTCATCTACTATTTATAGAAGAATTAAGAAGTCCGATGGTTGTAGGTACAAAAGATCTTCTGAATCTCTCCGTCCTGCAGCGAATAGAGAGGAGCCGTCCACTACCGTTGTTTTTGGTCCACCAAGATGTTAACGCTGCGTTCCAGTTACCGCAGAAGTCGGATGTCGGAGCTGGGAATGACGTTACACCTGAGTTGATGGCGTTCCAGTAAACAAGTAGGAAAACCAGGATGGACGTCTACAGTTAGCCGTTGTTAGCTGTTGTTAACAATTGTTAGTTGTTGTTAGCTATACCAGTTGTGAACAACATGTAACACAATATTTTACTCTTACAAACACAGTAGCACTGAGTCCACATTTAGTCGTTGGGCAGTACAACATAAACCACTTAATTAATTTTACAAAAACAAAACAGAAGTGCTAATAAATAAAACATTACAAGGGGTTTCACTGTTACTTTTTATTGTTGATGTGCTGCGCTGCCATCTTGGATTATGACAATATCGTCATATTGGGGTTGGTGAGGATCATCTGACTTTCCGAGTCGGAAATCTGACTTCAGGGGCGCGTTCCAGATGAATTTCCGACTCCGAGCTCGGAAATCCTGACTTCTGAGTACAAGTGGAACACAGCATAAGTCTCCTGATGTTATTGCCTCAGGGTGATGAGTCTGTATCCCAGCAACAGTATCATGGAGACCATCACATGGAACTTCAGCCGTTGCCCTGGGTAGGATGTAAACAAGTATTGTTATGATTTGACTGAACTTCCTTAAAACATAATACAGCTGAAGAGCAGCTGCCAACAGTTCAGTATCTGGACAAAACAACTTCTCCAACTCCTTGCAGTTAGCTTTAGCATCTCTGTCTGACCTGATGAGAGTGAAGACAGGTCGATCCAGACTGGAGTCTGAGTTGTTTTGATTGAATTAGGTTTCACAGGAGACCGCGCTCGCTGTGAACTTTCTCAGTCTTCACAGATATCTCCAAAATAGCAGAAGAGACCAGACTTTAGCGCAGGTTCTAGACTAAGAATCAGACACGTTAGCATCTGATCAGAGACAGGGACATCTCACAGTCCCAAATCACGTCTCAAGTCTTGGATCAGGAGTTTAAGTCAAGTCTCACCCTGAAGTTTACGGGCAGCTTTGAATGATGGCCGATCGTATTTTATGTCACTACTTTGGCTCTTTACTCCCCTCAGACTGATATGCCGGTGAGTTTCTGACTCCACTGAAGGGGAATCAAGGAGAAACAACAGGCAGTGTGGGGGGGGTATCAACTTCACACAAGAAAGCCAGGGGTCAGAGGTCACAGGGGTCAGAGGTTCGGGAACGATAACCTTGTTCTACCACACTGGGTGGAAGTGAAAGAGAAAAACTGGACGTGATAGAGGAAGAGAAACTCTCATCAGATAAGAGAGAGGAAAGAGAAGAAGGTGAAGAAAGTTCAGCTGGGGGAGTTTGAGTTGAAACCTGCACACAGGAATGAAAAAAGGTGGAGACTGACTCTGAAATCTGGTATTTGATTGGTCCTTTTTAAGACTTTACTGTGTCATCGTTCACACCTTAAAAAGCAACAAGTGCGAGGATTACAGTCTTAACTTCACCGAGAATAGAACAAAGAAGGAAAACAACTAGAATAAAGTAACTTTGACAAGAATGAAACTGTAAATAAATGAGAATTAAAGTTGTAATAAACTGAACTGTAAAACTTTGAACTCTTGGTTTTATGACTG